TGCTGCTGTTAAAACATCCAACTTTAGCTCCTCCTCTGACAGTTTAGCAGAGCACAGCAGACAGTCTGCTGGTTTGTGTCCTCCGTGTTGATCTTAAATATCTCCAAACTGCCGATATGTTACTTCTTCTTCTTCTTCTCATCGTTCTTCTTCTGTTATTCGGGGGTGCGGTCAGAAATAACTTGTCAGTGCGTTAGCGCCCCCGCCTGGTATGGATTGTTGTTTATCCTTTGTGCAGTGCAGCACAGGAGGGGACAAAAGCGGTATCTGTTAAGAGTATCGGCCGGCTTTTACGAGTACGAGTACTTGATGCTGGTATCGGACCCGATACCGATACTGGTATCGGTATCGGGACACCTCTACTAATTAGGTTCACAACGGCTGCACTGTGCTGTAGTTATTCAGACAAAATCATCCAACTGCTGCAGCTGATTGTGTACCTGCAGCAGCTGATTGTGTACCTGCAGCAGCTGATTNGTGGCTAATGATTAAGATTATAGAGGGGTGTGGTCATACAGGGGGTGTGGCTAATGATTAAGATTATAGAGGGGTGTGGTCATACAGGGGGTGTGGCTAATTATTATGATTATAGAAGGGTATGGTCATAGAGGGGGTGTGACTAAAGTTGAATTGTTTATATAGAGGGGTGTGGCCATATGGGGGCGTGGCTAAAGAGTAAATGTTTTTATAGAGGGGTGTGGTCATAGAGGGGGYGTGGCTAAAGATTACTTTTTTTATAAATGCGTGTGATCATAGAGGGGGTGTGGCTAATGATTATGGTTTTATAAGGATGTGATCATAGAGGGGGCGTGGCTAATGATGAACTGTGGTTACAGAAGGGTGTGGTCTTGAAGGGGGCGTGGCATAGCTTGGGTTCATCTAATGAATGTTTTAAAACTTTAAGACTTTAATATTCTTATATTCAGACTTGAACACAGAACCTCTACAATGAAACTGACCAGGTGAAGCAGAACCAATGCATACTGCTTGTGTGTGTGTGTGTGTGTGTGTGTGTGTGTGTGTGTGTGTGTGTGTGTGTGTAGGTCCGGCCCTGGATGTATTTGAACACCCTCATAACAAACGAATGAGTTCCAGCAAATAAACACAAGTGAACAAGTGTGTTTTTGTATGTGTGTGTGTGTGTGTGCATGTGTGTGTGCACATGTGTGTGTGCGCACCTGTGTGTTTTAGTCGTTGCACACTACAGTGACACATTTTCAATCACTGGTTTATTCTGGGAAATTGTTGAAAAAGGGAGATTTCTGAAGCTCTATGGGCCACAATAGGACAAGCCAGGATTAGTTTTTTCACTTTGTGTGTGTGTGTGTGTGTGTGTGTGTGTGTGTGTGTGTGTGTGTGTGCAGTACTGTGTGTGTGCACACACACATGTCTGTGCACTGCGTGTGTTTCCAGACAATGCCCTGGTAGCCAATTTGTAATATATAGTCGGCCTTGAAAAATGGCCCAGATCTCCTGTTCGCTGTCTGCAATTTAGCTGTGCCGGCGCCCGGCGGTACCCATTGTGCCGCCTCCCACCGCTGCCGATTGGGCCTGATGGAGTGTGTGTTTGGAGCGACGGTGTGTTTACCGCTGCCGTTTGGGCCTGATGGAGTGTGTGTTCAAAGCAACGGTGTGTTTACTTGCCTTGGTGCATCTCAGCTGCTTTAACTCACTGCTCTCTCTTTGCATGAGTGTCAGCGTGCACAAACTGCTGACTTGATTTATACCTGGGTTATTCACTCTGTGTGTGTGTGTATGTGTGTGCGTGTGTGTGTGTGCGTGTGCACTTCTACTTTGCTAACATGTACAAAGAAGACCGCAGTTAAAAACTAACTGGTTTAGGAAGAAGAAAACTAAATGTTGCCGAAGCAAATATCCTTTATATGTCAGGATGTAAAGTGAAGTAGACTAAAGATAATGAATAACTACTGTAATATAAAACATGTACAGATTCACAGATGTGTACTGACTTGTGTACTAGGGTTGGGCAATATTGACAAAAAAAACCTAATCACTATTAATTGTGGTATTTAGCCGAAAACGATTAATTTAAATATTAATCCCCTGGAGTCCCTGGACACCCTCATGTCCTGATCACATGACCGATGTAGTGGGAAAGATTTGATTTTCATAAAAATCTGTTCCAAATTGTGTCAAAATCACAGACTTCAGGCNGCAGCTGATTGTGTACCTGCAGCAGCTGATTGTGTACCTGCAGCAGCTGATTGTGTACTCCTGGTTTGTGTATTAGCTCTCTGATTGAGCAGCTCTGTCTTCCACAGATTGGATGACCTTTGCAGATCCTTCTGTCGAGTCTGCTAAGTAGATCTGATGGTGACGTGACTCAACACAACAATACTTTATTCAGATTGTTTCTGAATGAGGAAAAAGCAGGCGATGTGTGTGTGTGTATGTGTTGTGTTTGTGTACACACTCAGCCTGCCTTCATTGGTTCAAATGAAGCCTCATCTCCATATAGTTTGTATGCAATTACATCTGAGCGGCGTGCTGAGTGCCTCTATATGATTGTGTTTGGATACTGGCTGCGGTACGCGTGTGTGTGTGTGTGTGTGTGTGTGTGTCTGGAGCAATTCATGGTCAATTTGTGAGTGTGTGTGTGGTGTTATGGAAACATTTGTGCTGGTTTGATGGGAGTGTGCGGTGTGAGACGTACTTTTCCTGGAATAAAGCAATCCATGCTAACTGCAGGCGTGTGTGTGTCATTTGTTCTGATGAGATTTGTTTCTATACRTGTGTGATTGTGTAGCGTATGCTCGTGTGGAGGTTAAAGCATCGTCTTCTCTCAGGAGATGAGAGCRGAGGATAAGAGCCGAGTGTCTTTCTAGTGGCTTGTTGGCTGCTCGCAGGGCTTTAAAGGACACGTCTGTCAGAAGCCGTGTCTCACACTCGTCTGGTTTTAACAGCTAATCTCAGCTGAAGGTGATCCACTCACACCAACACTTTTTACTGAAACAACATGCACACTCAGGCTGAGACATGGTGTCCTCACTGTCCACACACATCAAACTGTGGACAGATGTGAGTTAAATCAGGATGTTGGTTTGTCTCAGTGTTGTTATCATGTGAACGTGCTGCRGTCTGAGCAGAGGTTCTGCAGGTGGAGGTGCAGGTTTCTAACCCTCACCCTGTGCTCTGCAGGCGGACCTGATCTCCGCTCAGTGGGAGCTGCARCGTGTGGCCCTGGAGAAGATGGCAGTTAAACTGAGCAGCATGAAGTACCCCTCGCCCCCCCGGAGGCACCTCAGTCAGCTGACCAGGACCAACAGGTGAGCTCAGAAACAACAACACAACACTTCCTCCTCCTCACTGTAGTCCAAACACAACCTGCTGGGTCTAAACAGGAACATGCACACKCACACAGACAGGACAGGCTCAGATCCTCATTGGTCCTGCTGCCTGTCAGGCTTTCATCCGTCCAACCGGTCCAGCCCACTGAAGRGTTGTTTTCTTTGTTGGTCAGAAGTAAAACCTTACAAACATTTAAAGTTGTGACAGCAAASAGAACTCCAGATCAAACCACTCAGCACTGAAGTGTAGTGCTAGTGTTATCAGGTAGTTGCTGGAGCATCTGCCAGATAACAGATCATAGATCCTGAAGATAACAAACAAATCTGTTTACAAACAAGGAACAAATGAATTGTTTTTGTTTACTCAGACCAAAGGAACATTAAACTACAGCTGCACCTGAAGATTGTTTTTTATAGTTGTTGAATCTGTTGATTGGTTCAAATAATGGGTGCAGCTCTACATTAAACTGTTGTTCACATCATATCACTTTATTATTGTCCACTTAGGGACACTTTACTTGCAGCAAGATGGAAGAAAAATACAATAGAAACAGAAACAATCACACAACAACATCAGTAAATGTGAATGAAATGTTTGTTTGAATGTGAATCACCTCAGAGAGCTGTCATCACCTTTATCCACATCCCAGACACTATGAAATTATACTAAATTCAACCCATTATCTGTAAAATAACTAAAACATGTAAGAAAAAAACTGACATTTTTTAAAAGAATAAAAATAAACAGGATAAAACTGGGAGAAGTGATGCCATGAGTAGAAAACAAGAGAGAGAAAGAAACCAGTTTGTTTAGTTTAAACCTGGTTTAAGCCCGCGTTAAAGCTGTTTGTTTAGTTTAAACCTGGTTTAAACTCACATTAAACCTGTTTGTTTAGTTTAAACCTAGTTTAAGCCCATGTTAAACCTATGTGTTTAGTTTAAACCAGGTTTAAACCTGTGTTAAACCTGTTTGTTTAGTTTAAACCTGGTTTAAGCCCNACACACACACACAGCTATTACCAGAGCTGAGACCTTTCATGAAACCATCTGTCTCCAGAGGAAGAAAGAGGTTCATGAGGCCGACCATCACATCACTTATTACTTTCTTTTTTTCAGCTCCATCACATCTGTTCTCTCCTCCTCCTCCTCCTCCTCCTCCTCCTCATCACTCCTTCTTTCCTTCACTTTCCTCCTCCTTCCTTCTGTTATTTCCTGCATCCTAACCTCGGCTGTCAGCCCTGTTTCTCCTGACCCTCCTCTCACCTGTGACCTTTTTAAATTCAGTTTTATTTTTGAGTTTTCAGTTGTCCTCCCTCTGGGAGCATCACTTGTTCAGTAAAAAACACGAKTGCCTCACACAGAATGACATTTTGTTTGACTTTACTCAAATGAAGAGCAGTAAAAGCAGAGATTTGCAGAGCGTTGCAACAGGAAACAGGTGTGTTGTTAAAAAGAAATAATAAGTTCCTCACAGTGACTTTATTCTGTCAGAGTCAACTTGTTTCTGCACAGTTTTACCTGTAATTTTATAGATTTGTTTTTTGGATTATCTGACACTGAAGGGTGCTCGTTAGCTGGTTAGCTCGTTAGCATGCAGTTTGTTTTAATTAGCATCCTGTCTTGTCGGTGTCAGGCTGAGCTGTTGGAGGCTCCGACATGTTTCAGTCTGCAGCATCACACCCAGCAGACACCTGCTGAAAGCCTCTTCTTCCTGTCAGCTCTCCAAACACACAGCAGCCCGTGCTCATTGATTTCACCGTGCCCACCTCGGCCCACTTTGAACCCACCTCTGCAGCGTCCTCTCTGTGCAGTTCCTCTGCTGGACTACACTTACCTGACTGAGGGAGAATGTTCTGCAGGACCTGAATGATCCAGGGTTCTGTTTACTGAACTACAGACTGATTTGATAAAGTTTGTCCTGAGTCGGACCTGAAACCTTCCTGAAGCCCGTCGTCCAATCACTGAAGTACATSAAGCTGAGAAACAAGGAGCTTTTTTTATCTGCTGCAGGTTGTGTGTTTTCCTGCTGGGCCTCCCAGACGTGCATCAAGAGATGAAATCAAAAACTAATACAATCTCTGGACTTACATCTCGCTCATTTAATCTGAGAAGCAGCTCTCTGGCCTCTCCTGCAGCCATAAAGTGAAGTAAGTTATGCCGGGGGTGCCCTCACTTCACCCTCTGACAGGAACAATAGCGGTGGGCTCGCCTCAGAAAACCCTGTTTTACAGGAATACTCGTCCACAAAGCAGGAGCGACAATGTCAATGGTTTTATGGAGCGCTACACACCACAGCTAATGTTCTGCTGTGAGCCGCACTGCTTCACTGATTCTCCTCTCTGCCTCGTATTTCTCCTCCTCTGCTTGCTTTTATTATCCMGGCCTCCCCCCGCTCCTTCCCTCCCTGAGAAAAATCCATAGCGACATGGGTTTTGACAGCCTGTCTTTGGCGGGTGTGTAAAATTTAAATAATTCTCTGTGCAGACAGTCACTCTGGGCCTGCTTTGTGTTTTCTATTTGACTCTGTCACTTTGCCTTCCTGTCGAATCCCAGCTGACAGCGTTTAGCTTTGAAATAACGAAAAGAAATGAAATGAAACAGCCAAACTGGAGGCTTGTCTGCTTTCTTTTATTTATTTATTTCAGAATACTTCAGAAAGCATCGACCAACAGGTACGGCCTGAAATCCAGCAGGTGCTTTCAGCAGCAGACACATTTTACTTTCAGCAACAAGAAGACTTTTAAAGAAAGACAAGGACAAAACTGACTGAACTGACTTAAATGTAAACTTTTTAAACCACCTTGGTAAAAAGTGTCTCTGTACTTTTATTTACTCCTGAAACACCAGAAACTCTGGGGTTGTTAAAACTATAACTTTAAAATATATTAAAGTTCAGAATCTTTGGACCTTTTTTATTCTTTAGTTTTTTATTTCTGTCATGTTTTTAGTTTGTGTGACGTGCTGCTGAGACATCATCACACATGAACTGTTGATGAAATGTTTAAATGTTTGAAGATGATACGACTGTTTTTGTTTGGGTAAAGACTGAACAGATGTTAGAGAAAATGCARACAGAATTTGTGAAAATAYAAAATTGGTTTAAACTAGAGCAGTGAAATTAATTGAGTTAACTCTGATTAATTTTACTGCTGTATGGGCATAGATTAAACATTTTAATCGTGATTAAAWTCTACAATCACTTTACTCTGACTGAATCTGTAGGTTTGTATATTACAGTGCATCATGTCAGGTCAGGTTTGTAAAGAAGTGCTTCTCAAACAGTTTACCTGGATAAATAAAGGTTAAATAAAAAAATATAAAAAACNAAAGCTGTTTGTTTAGTTTAAACCTGGTTTAAGCCTGTGTTAAAGCTGTTTGTTTAGTTTAAACCTGGTTTAAGCATGTGTTAAACCTGTTTGTTTAGTTTAAACCTGGTTTAAGCCCGTGTTAAAGCTGTTTGTTTAGTTTAAACCTGGTTTAAGCATGTGTTAAAGCTGTTTGTAGATTAGTATAGAGGTAACGGTTATCTCCAGTGTTGAGTGGAATAATGTGCAGGCAGACATGAATAATAGAAGTCAGATTTCCTCAGGTGGCTGCGTGTCAGAACAGCTCCTACGCTCTCCGTCAGCGCTGCGTGACAGGAAGTGATCGTGACACTTCAAACGCTGCGGCGCCGTCCCGAGCAGCGAGCGCAGCCCCACAGTGGCACCACGCCGCTCTTCCTGCTCACACGCCTCTGTTTTCTCCTCTCCGGGCCCACGAGAGCTCCTGTTTTACAAAGCATTTAGTTAACATTAGTGTCAGAACACGAGGAGAAAGAGAGGAGAGGAGGGGAGGAGGAGAGKAGAGGRGGAGAGKAGAGGAGAGGAGAGGAAGAACGACAAGAGAAAACAATCTGAGCAAGTGTTGTACTGCTTCATCTGTCGGAGTCAGTAACGGGTCGCTCTGCTCGCTGCATAATGAGAAACACCGCCTCCGGGGAGGGAGGCTGCACTGCTCCCCTCCTCCTCCTCCTCCTCCTCCTCCTCCTCCTCTCTTTATTAAGAATCACTGGCTGCCTGTGGAGCAGGAGGAGCAGGAGAAATCCTGGCTTTAAACAGTTCATACTGGTTGATCTCCTCCGTCACAGAGCTTCATGTTAGCAGACATGTAGTTAATAAAAAAGGTTAAATTTTAAAAGGTTTAAAGGAGACATGATGTAAACTCCACAGTTTTACCTGTTAAACCTCAGAGTGTCTGCAGGACAGCTGGCCTCAGACATTGTTGATATTGATGAGAAACTAACATGGAAACCTCTTATAAATTATTTTAAAATAA